CACAATGTGCGTAAACCTGCAGTACACCTGCACAGACCTGAACACAAAGGGTCAATCTACTGGGTCTGTGCAGATGAGCCACTGCTGTCTGTGGACTACAGCGACTTTAAAGCACGTAGCCTCTAATGCTGCTCTTGTGTTCATTAGCCAACATACTTTTATTAAAATGACACGAGTATAAACATTTACTCCGCTCGTGTGTCGTCCCCTCTTCCTGTCCTGTGTTTATGAGCGCCACGCTGTCGTAATCAACAGCCCCGGCAAAGAGGGATAATCGTCTGCATTAGAATGGACCTCTTATCCTCCCGAGTCCTTCTGCCATAATCATTTTTAATCTGCTTTCCATGTCCATTACCATCATGCCTGCTCGACCATTCCATTACACAGTGGGGCTCTTTTCCCGCTCCCCGTGTCCCCTCCTGGACCACTGCAGGTGGCTTGCGAGCATATTGCATGTGGGCCCGAAGCAACTGCCACGAAGCGCGCCATGTGACCCCCGTTACCGGGCCAAGATCGGCAGGCAGATAGGCATAGCGGGGGAAAATCTCAACGGCCGCAGATTTACACATGTTTGTTTTTCTGGTTAAAGATCTCCCGCGGACAGCCGCGCACAACATCTGAGTTTGGATTTGTCCCGGGGGGCAGTTTTATCTCATTCATGCTTCAGGCTGTTGGATTCCAGTGAGATTTGAGGAGCTGTAAAATGCTGAATTATGGAGCACAACGCTGGGAAAATGAGTGCATTGTTGTGTGCACTTTTTTATTGTCTTTCTTCTAGAACGACTCCCCGTTACCTGGTCCCAGCACCGTGTGCACGTTTATGTGTGCGAGTGTCTGTTTACCCATAGAGCAAAGAAAGTCTAGCAGCAGCGTGACTCAGTCAGCCAGAAGCCTTTAATCCCTGCGGGCTCCTGTCACTAGAAGAAGGGCGTGTCGGGCGTTCTGTTTCTATGTGGACCCTGAGATGATTGGACGGCTGCTGAAAATCTCCACATTAGGCCGAGTGTGAGTCTCTGCAGCATCCAGCAGACCTCACACACCACCGCCCCGTCTCTCGCACCACTGTACGCGCTGGCTGCAACCAAATCTGAACAAACACTCGGCATCAAACATTTAACGACTTTGTCTGATTACAGTGTCCTCCGTTCAGCTCTCCGTCTTCATGCAGCTCAGACTCGGGAGCTTGCCTGTCTTCCTGGTTGGTCGTGCACCTTTTTATCTTCCACTTTAGGCTGTTCTCTACTCTTTGTTCTCTAGTCCCCTGCTCTTCCACATACAGTATATTCCACAATCTGCAAAGAGGTTACAGTAGCGACGACTGCAAAGCCGGGAAGCGCCTCATTAGTCCTCTGAATAACACCCTGATCCGGGTTGACTGTTGTAGGTCAACAACGCTGTTTGCTGCCTTTTTTGTATGCAGGTAGCGCTCACTAGAGCCTTCAGTGAAAAGTAGGCTATGTCTGTGTGTTTCAGGACCTTTTTTACGTCTGAGCTGGTCAGTGCCAGCTCAGACAAAATGGTGTTTTCAGTGTCCTTGACCTGCCTGGTTTCTCTCGAGCTGCCGCTGCATGCATCATGACAGAAGCAGGTTAAGTGTGAGGACTGTGGAGCTTTTCTTATGGGGGGGGGGTTATGGCACCTTATTCCTCAGCAGCCTGAACAGAGCGGCTGTTTGTTGCTGCGGAGTTCACAATGGACAAAGCCGGGAACACAAACACGTTAGCGTTTACCGAAGTCTCTTGAGAAGATCAACCTGCTCACAAAGATGCCATTCATGCCGATCTGCTCCTCCCCAGCTGTGGAGCGGACACCGCCTCGACACACACACACACACACACAGCTGTGCACTGTCTGAAACACACACACACACAAGACCTGGCCTCCTGCACAGTCTTTCACCTGTTAACCCGGACGGGGGAGAATCCTCTCCCCTCGTGCATGTGATGTCTTCATCATGCAGATATACGTACAGCCGTGTTGCACCGTAAGACCGCAAAAGGAGATTTGGCAACAGAATTTCCCCTGGAATATGAGGGATTTTAGGGATTAACAGGAAATGCACACTCACACAGTCCAAGGTACATTCTGTAAGCCGTTAACTCATTCATAGAGGGCCAAAGTTTCAATCGTAGGACCAGATATCGGCCGGGAGTTTGGCTACTGTCGTGTTCTGATTTGCTGAGTAAGATTTAGTATTTTGCTTCAGTGCAGCGGAGACATCCCGACGTCTGCTCTCCCGACCCCTCGGTCAGCCCAAAACACGACGGAGTGTTGTCGGCGAGGAGTGCCACACACTCGACTCTGCCGCTCTGCACTCCGATTGGCCCACTCACCCACATGAGAGTCTGCTCACCGAGGGTAATGGTGTCCCCGAGTTAACTCTCTCACTCCCCATCTGATCTGCTGTGTTGACATTATGAGGAGCAACATTTCCTCCAGCTAGTACTCTCAGCATCCAGCTGACAATGCCCGACTGTGCTGTTTTATTCATTACCAGCCGGTTGCAGTGCATTAGACCTGTGTGTGTGTGTGTGTGTGTGTGTGTGTGTGTGTGTGTGTGTGTGT